GGCGAGCAATCAACTTTGTAACCCAGCGCTTCCTCGCGCGATCCGTCGCCATGCTTAAGATTCCCACCCCCGCCACCCCCCTCCTGCCTTTCAAGTGGATACTGAAACTAGGCCAAAACTTTTTCCCTTCCTTTTCTCTTAGCCACTAGACTGGATTGTGCCCCACGAAGCCCCATGGAGCTCTGCTTTCTTAAGCACAATAGCTGGACTAATTAGATCATAGAAGCTAGGCAGTGATACTGTAACAAGTAGCCCAAGAGGCAGAGAGGGAAGGGGCCCGAAAAGAGAGAAAGGGGGAAAAGTTTGCAGCTCTCGCACTTACCAATCAAGCCTCCCACCAGAAAGGCGATGATTTGGAACACGAGCAGAATCCCACCAACAATGCACAGCTTCTTGGTGCTCATGTTTTCTATAATTGCCCCAGCCATTTTTGCGCGCCCCCCCTTTTTCTTTTCTCCTTGAAATAAATGTTTTAGGGTGTGCTTTTTTTGCTCCCTCCCGTCTCACACTCCCTCCTCCCTCGCCTCCTTTCTGAGCGCTGCAAAACTTCAGGGGTGCGGGAGCGCGGCGAGGATGGGACCGGGACCGAAGGCGCCCGCACGGATTCCTCCGGCGCAGCCGGCTCAGGCTCCCCCAGTGCCCGGAGCTGTGATTGTGGCCGCTCCGCCGCCTGTGGACGCTTAAAGGAGCAGGGAAGCGGATCACATGACGCCGCCTCCCTCCCTTTCTTCCTCCCTCCCTCTCGCGCTTCCTCCCTCCGTCCCTCCCTCCCTCTTTTCCTCTACCCCTTGCCCGCCAGTTTAGGGCTCGCAGCTCCGGCCCGCGCTGGCGCTCTGCTTCCCGGTCTGGCTGGCAGCCTGTCCGGCCAAGGGCTGGTATCTTTCCGGGGTTGTTATTAAGTGGGTTCCCCTACCCAGCCTCTCACATGCTTCCTTTTCTGATTCCCGAAGTGCGGGATTTAAATCACCCTCGGACCTCTTTGCAGACCTTTCACTTAGGTTTTGACTTTGGAAAAACGGTTCCCTACCCCTTCTCGTAACTGCTAGAACTCTCTTCAGGAAACCGAAGGAGAATTTTTTAAAGGAACCCAACAGATGCTAAGTCAAAGCACAGAGATGCAAGAGTAAGTCTAGGCTCCGCTTGCTTGCTTCTCTGTCTGGCCCAGCCTTGGCTACCGGGCATATGCCCAGCGAAAGCCCCCACTGCGCCCCTGCGGAAACTTGAGCTCCAGCCAAATCTGACCACTGTCCATTGCTCCCCCGCTGGCATCCAGAGCCTTGACCCTGGCTATTGCTTTAAGGAAAGCATGTGCTATTCTATCAGACTTTCGACCTGATTCCAAACGCAACTCGTCTAAATACCTTTCTTTAATCATTTTCCACACACTTCCGTGTAGTATCTCTGGGAAGGATCCCCTTCCTCCTGTGTTTACATTTTTACCTCCCATGGAAGGAGTCGTATGTACACCTGGTCTCCACCACGGAGCTGGAGCTGTAACGTCCTGGAGGATAGAGACCAAGCTGCATTCGTCTTTGGACCCCCGTGGTACCTAACAAAATTCTAGCCCTTGTAGGTCCTCCACAAACTTCTGTGAAATGAATAAATAAGCAAATGTAAAAGCAAGCCCACCGTTTGCATTTCAAAACCCTAAAGAGACTTGAGTTGATTGGGATGGTACACAGGAGGTTAGAATGTTTGTTGTCTCTGTGACCGATGTATTTGTAAATGCTTAACTTCCAAGGAAAAGGAGGGGAGGGGATTTGAAGAGATTTCCTGCTTTGTCAAGCCTGAATTCCTGGGCCTGCTCAGGAACTCCAGGAGCACAACTCACTTACCCAGTAGATTCTTGGTCTGTAAACACCCCCATCCCTATACACACGCATACATGCAGTTTCCACCACCACCTGCACACCTGGTTTTTTGTCCCTTCTCTCTTTTCACACCCTCTTTATGCCATGGGACTGTTCCAAGTCCTTTCTCCTTCACTCTGCGCCTGAACCTTCATGGCCCTTGGAGAAGATGCCCTGCGAGTTCCACTTAGAAATAGTGTTCATTTCTAGTCTCTAACTGTAGACACACCTTAAAGTCAGGTACCAAGCTTGATATAAAACTCCATCTCCTGGGTATCTGACAGTTCTTAATGGTATTGGAGATAGGGTTGTGTACATTCATTCTTTCATATCCAGCAGTCTTTTGTTGAGCCCTTAGTGTTCCGGGCACTTCAGGAGAAGATGTCCTGGAGAAGTCGCATTACACAAACCGAGACAGACTTTGATGGGTTATTCGCCTTCCTTCTTCTTTACCTTTTTAGATTGTATTTTTTTATTCTCACAGAGGTGAGCTTCAGGGCATCAGGCAAAGAAGTAAGTCTGCCCTTCTCACCTCCAGCTGCTACTTACTAAACATTCTGTGTTCTTATCTCAGCAAGCTGCTGATTTCCACACATTTGAATAACAATGAAGCCTTTGGGTTAGAATTTCTTTTTTTTCTTTCTTTCTTTTTTTTTTACTCAATGTCAAGATTTACTCTCCACTTCATACTGTATTTCAAGATTTAAAAATATATGGTATTGGGCCAGCTGGTGGTATAGTGGTTAAGGTGGCTGGATGCCACATGGCTGACTGAGTGGTTTGAGTCCCAGTTCTGAAGGCTTGAAAAACACACCTGGTGCATGTTCATGCGTGTCCAAAATCCCAAGAGGAGAATGGAGGAAAAGAGATTGTGGCATAACCATTCCCCTTAGGGGTGCTTTCTCACTTTCCCTCTCTCTTTCTTTCAGAGCACATGTGTCCTATGGCAAATCCAAACACATAAACAAATGCATGGTATCTCTTGCACTTCCGGTGCTGATTTGATCCACAAGAAATGCCTTGTGGAGTTGAATTGATTTATTTAGGATTAGTGATCTGCTTAACTCATTTTTCTGTCTACTCCTACAATACATCTGACCCCTTCTGCTCCCACATGAAGAGTAACTGGCCTTAAATTCCAGTTTCCTCATCTGGAAATGAGAGGCTTAGAATAAAATACTGGTTCCCCACCAACATGATTTTCTACTTTAAAAGGGCACCTATTACATAAGCATTTTAATTACAAGGAAATACATCTAATTACTAATCAGTGTCCCTAACTTGCATGAGGGTACCAATGTTACAAAATTGGGGGGGGCAGGTGGCATGGTGGTTGGGGTGCTGGACTCCCGCATGGCAGACCACAGTTTGAATCCTGGACCTGGCAGCTTGCTTTCTCACTTTCCCTTTTTTTCCTCTCTCTCTGGTCAAATTGCGGGGGGGGGATGATAATAATAATAAATAAAATAAACTTCTTTTTTAAAAAACCGAGTGGGGCACAGACAACTGTATAGTATTGGTGACCATGGACTGCTTTAAAAAAAAGAAAAAAAATACAATTTATATGATGTCTCTTTCAATGTAAAACAGACTGGTAGATCTTTAGTTCCCAAGAGGACAACACACAGGGGTAGAAGAGACCATGAGTGTTTGAGTTGGTTGGGCCTAGATTCAGCCCTGACACCAACCATCATACTTTGTATGATCAGGCCGTTACACAGTCACTTACACACTGGAGCTCAGTTTTCTCACCTGTAAAATAAGACAATAGTAATATCTATCTTATGGTATTCTTACAAGATATAAATATCTTTTTTTATTAACATATTTAGGGATAGCTAAGGAAAATCAATAACCTTGTGTTAAGAACTAGTAAAATCACTGATGTGAAGTATATTCATGCTGGGTAAATTCACTTTACAAGCTAAGTCATGTATAGTGAATGAATGTGTGAAATAAATTAAACATTAAAAACAATCAAAACTAGGAAAATGAATCACTGATTAGTCCTTTCTTAGCTCTAAAACTTTGTCATTTTATGATTGTGGTTTTTTTTTTGGAGAGGTTTTTGCTATAGGGCGCGTGCGCTCGCAAGACAGACAGAGAGAGACATAGAGACAGAAAGCGAGAAATCACCCCCCAGGAGGGATGGTCACTCTGGAATCCCTTCTCCTCCATTCTCCTCTCGGGATCTTGGGCACGCACGCACAAGCGCTCGGTGTGAGTTTTAAGCCACCGGGTCCAGGACGCGAACCACGGTCGACTATGTGGGAGTCCAGCGACATAGCCATTACACTAACTGCTAGTTCCCTTATGATTGTGTTTTGAAGCCTATTTTAGAAATCTGAACAGTTAAATGTACTTGACAAAGGTGCTAATGAGAACTATGCCTAGTAGTGAACCCTAAACAACACTCGTGAATGTTAACATAGAAACATTGTGTGCTGGGACTAGCAGTTAGCATAATGGCTATGTCGCTGGACTCCCATGTAGTCGACCACGGTTTGAGTCCCAGACCCAGTGACTTAAACTCAAGCCGGGCGCATGTGCGTGTGTGCCCAAGATCCTGAGAAGAGACTGGAGGAGAGGGGATTGTGGCATGGCCATCCCCCTGGGGGGTGATTTCTCGCTTTCTGTCTCTCTGTCTCTCTCTGTCTTTCTGGTGAGTGTACATGCCCTATAGCAAAAACCCCTCAAAAAAAAAAAAAAAAAAAAAAGAAGAAGAGGAAAGGAAAGAAAAGAGAAAAGAAAAGAAACATTGTGTGCTAAAAACTACTCCAACTACTAAGGAAATGTTGGTTTTGAGTCACAGGTTGTTTATCCCAAAGGCTGGGAGAATCCAAGGGTACCATCCAGTAGAACAGATCAATTTAATTCTCTTGACTTTAAATTGGGTATTATGGTTTATTCATTTTATTCAAAGTATTTGGCATATGGAATGTCATAATGCTATCTCATGCATATTTATTGAATAGCTGAATGAATGAGTGAATATCTAACTGAAGGTAGATATAACTCTTTCTTCTACCCTCACTTCCTGTTTGGAATTACTGACTATATTCCTACCTAGCATTTACATTCTGAGCTTTATTTTGCACTTATATCTATATGGGTGGTGTGTTGTCACCCCAGCTGGCTTACAAATTCCCCTAAACACAAGGAGAGTGTGACCTGAGCCTTTGCCTCCTTCCCAGCCTTAGCATAACACCTTGCATGGAGGAGGGCTCAGTTCCTGGAGAGGAGGAAGCCTGGTGTGAAAGCCAGGAGCAGCATATTATTATCATCATTGCAGTAAATGTAATGTAGAGATCTAAAAGAACTGCATGCACCTCCTTAAACACCTAATTTACTTCCTAGAGGGACCTAAAAGAGCGATAATCCCACTCCGAGGTTTCTCATTCTCATAAATAGCTTTTATCCATAAATGGCTTCCCCGTGGCTTCATGGTTGGTAAGTTCTGGTAGTTAGTGCCCGTGAATGTGAATGTGAGCAGGCACTGTGGGCTCGCACTCTGTTATTCAGTGTCACTTTTCACCATATATGTATGTGGTGAAAACACTTTTAAAGCACTTTTTTTC